AAATAGTTGAGGTTGACCAAGGGAAATAGTGAGGGCAGGGTGTGGAATTGCATATAGGCCCAGTGGGAAAGCTGCAGTTGCCTGCTGTGGGCCTGGGTGAGGTCCCATAGTTTAGGTAATAAATCTGGCTGATGTCATTCGTAATAGGGTTACTTTTAGTAATAAAACGGGGGAGGACTGAAGGAGAAAATCTGGATATTGCTAATCCTGGAGTTACTCACCCAACTCCTAAAGAGCAGAGTGATGCTGAAATAGAAAAGTTCCTAAAAAATGTAATTATGTAGCATTGCTAATCTAGTGATACACTTGCACTTGGTCACTTCATAGGGTGAGGCAAGGTAATTTAGGAAGTGTTAGTTTTGGGGACTGATATTAGAGGGCAAAGTGAAGGACAGACTGTTTACTTTAATGTTTCTGAAACACTTTAGTAGACCTTTTAGTCTCTACCACAAAACACCTCTTCCTCAAATTTTGGTGTGACTGGGCTGCTTTGTAATGGGAACAGACTTGGATTTTTGTCTCACTGTAGAAATAAGGACCATCTGCACAAGCAGAGCGTGGGCTCAGGTGCTGAGCCCTCCTAGTCCCTGCCTGCCACAGCACAGGAGGTGTTGGCACCTGGGCTGTTTCTGACCTTCAGAGTGCTCCAAACACTCTGTGTTTGGGCAGAGGAGGAGGTCAGGATGCCCTGCAGTCAGGATGCACGGGGGGGGGGCAGTACAGCTGTTGTCTGTGGGTTGCACATCTGGATGAAGGGATGTAGACAGCCTGGCAGGTGTGATGGGAAGCTTGGTTGGGCAGGAGGGACCTGGCTGCCCAGGCTTGGATGGCAGAGGAAAGCACAGGATGTCCTTTAGCAGGGCACAGCGAGGGTGTGGCACTGGCACAAGGCTTGTTAGATGTCAGAATGACTCAGCAGGGACCCACCAGCCACCTCTGCCACCCAGGCCTTGGCACATGAGAACAACAGTTAGAGGAGGAGCTTGATGCCTCAACAAGGAAAGAATAAACAGCTTTGTGTTTGGCTTTGGTGATGTGAGACCAGATCTTTCGTGCTCTCATCAATCATACCTGGCACCACAGAGGGGAGGAAGAGGCTGAGCTAGTTCTGTCTCCTCTGTCTCCAGTCAGCTCTGACTGGAGGGGGTGCAGAGCTCAAATGCCTCTGCTGGGCAATGAAGGTCACCAGGACCATGACCTGTGTCATCGCTTGTCATGAGGCTTCCAAGGTGCTCAGGTTGGGGTAGGGGCAGGTAAACCAGAAATGGACTCTCAGGGCTGCTTTGAGGCCCAGCTCAGCAGCCAGTGAGGCAGGGGGAGGCATCTTGTAGGGCTGAGGTGACACTACAGGTACATGTGGCATTCCTGAGGGGCCACCAGGCAGCACCTTCTGCCCGGATCCAGCAGTGAGGGTGTCCCAGAGAACGGGGTTGTGGCATGGGACAGCAGCTGCAGAGCTCAGAGAAGGCACAACAGGGCAGGGGAGGCTGGGTGGGTGCAGGAAACCACCTCAAGGCACGATCCTTGGGGTCATGAGAGCTGGGCTGGTCCGTATGGGGTGAGCCCAGTTCCACAGTAAAGGCGAGAGGCCAGACTGGAGCGGGTAAAGGGCACAAAGGTGTGTCAGGCCCGGGGCAGCCTGGAGGGCTCACGGCTGGGGAGAGCATTTGGTGAGCACAGAGTGCAGCAGATGTGCAGAGAAGGAGTTGGGTTAATGAGAGTAGATGATCTTGAGTCTCGTGAACTGCCGTGGCTGGAAATAGCTGCGAGGAGCGCTGGCCCTGGGGAGCTGTCAGGAGATGTCAGCCCCTGGAATGGTAATTCCCTTGGGCCAGGCTGAGCAAACTTAGCATTTAGGAAAGAGGAGTGGATGTATTCAGCATCCTTCAGGTATGCTGGGTCAGTTAACCACTGCTGTGCAGCACTGTTACCTTCAGTGTTACAGGCAATGTAAACGTGGCAGAAAGCTTGCACAGTCTCCTTTAAATAAAGGGTATAAAAATACTTTTCTCTTTAAAGTGAAGTTTTAGAGTGAGCTCCCACAGCTCTTTGTGTGTCAGAGGAATGGATTAAAATAAGAAAAATGTGGGCCTTAAAAGTTGTACTTCCTCCCAACTGAAACCCATCAGTCTCACTACACGTCCAAACACGGCGTCTCCCAAGCATATGCTATGCTTACAAATGCATTTCTAAAAAGAAAAAAAAAAGTGTATGATTTGAATATATGTCAGAATTTATACAGAAGAATGTTATTTAAAATGAATAAAAATAAATGTATATAATTTGTATCTATGCCACTTGGATTTTTGCATCTGTGGTTTTGTTCATTGAAGTTCAGCAGGAGTCTTTCCAATGACAGAAAGGATTGAATCTGATCTCATCCTGGTAATGATTTTTGTTCCAAGAGAATTATTCCTTCATTATAGCACTGTATGTGAGATGAGAACCAAGGCACAAAAATGTTTTTTAACATCAGATATCCATAAGTACAGTTGACATCCTGTGTCGGATAATCCAGCTAAAAAAATCAGTCCTCTGGTCTCTTGTGTCTGCTATGAAACATTCCCAGCCCTCAGCTGCTCACACTGACATGTTTGAGATCTCCACAATCAATGTCTGTTCTCCCACTGTTTTCTATATCATTCACATGGACACATTTTGTCAGAGATGTGAGTCATTAACAACAAAACCCTCCGAGCAAAGCTAGAAATGGGATGAGGATATTGGATCAGATTTTTCTTCATGACCACAAATGTCTTTCAAAGGCCGTTTTCTGCTATAGATACTCAGAAATCCACATGTGTGGCGTCAGTAGTTTTGAACACTTCAGGGAGTGTCTGTGGAAAACTTGTGTTTCTGTCTCACTTGGCAGCGTTAAGAAATTAATTTATTTGCAAATACAACTGCTAAAGGCTCAGCTTTTCTGCTGAAAGCTGTGTCTGACTCTGCAGCCCTTATTAAGCAAAGAACTTGGAGAGGTAAGGCTTCATAAACTGAGCGAGCACTTGGTTTTAAGTGTTCATTCAAATGTTTAGCTGAGCCAGAGCTATATCAGTAAGGGCCACAGCGGTGAAATTCCAGGGAGTTTATTGGGACCTGATTTGCATTAGCAGAGCAGTTGGACTGTGTATGACTTAAGTTAGGAAGAATCTTGCTGGGAGCTGTGAGAGGAGGAGGCAGAACTGAGAGCTGAACCAGGTCCTCAGAGTGGGGAGTGAGAGCAGGAGGGTGAGGAAGACCTGTGTTCATGACATCCACCCTCCTTGTGCCACCACAGCACAGCACAGTGAGCAGCTGGCTCTCGTCCTGCTCCAGGGCAGCTTGTACTCAACTCATCCCTACAGTACACTCACCATAAGTACTTCCTTCCCAGACTGTCTTTAGGGACTCTCTTCCTGAGGTGGGAAGGACCTCAGGCTTCCTTGAGAAGCAGGGAAGTTCTAACACAGCTTCTTGGCATGAGAATTTAGTGTAATCTCCCCAAATGTGCTGCTAATTAAGCTAAGGTTAAACAACATTAAGCAGATTATGAGAAGGCAAGTTGTTAACTGCTTCTAGAGGTATTTCCCAGGCCTTTCTGCCCCTCTCAGCTTCCTAGTGCTGCTGCAGCTTTCAAAGCATTGTGCAGTGCAGTAACCCAGGGAAATTTCCCATCCTATCTGTCTGTATATACATAGACTTATAAAATCCTGGAATGTTTTGGGCTGGAAGTAACCTTCAAGATCATTTGGTTCCACCCCCTGCCATGGGCACGGACACCTTCCACTAGACCAGGTTGCTTAGGGTCCCATCCAGCCCTGCCTTGAACACTTCCAGAGAAGATAGACATGGATATATCTCTATATATCCATATCTTTATCCATTGGACAAACACTTTATGAAGCAATAAACTTCACAAGGAGGGCCCTCCTGATTTCC